ACTCTTTCCTCAAGCATTTCATAACAAAGGGACACAAGGACTTGTTCAGGACCAGTGTTTGATTCTGTGCACAACTTTATTTTAATGCCTAATTTATAAAGTAGAACATGTCCTCTAGTATATAACCTAATCAGACATCAGGTACATTGACTAACACTGGGTCCTTCACTGAGCAGATTCTCATCAAAGCTATGAAAGAGGTTGGATTCTCTCCTGTTTCCAATCAACTCCTGTGACGCAAAGAGAAGTGAAGTGGATACACTTTGTTTCTTCCATACAAAAGCTGGAGCTCCATTAAATTTATTGCCCATTAAACTTTACTTTTTAAAGAAATGTATTATTCAAATGAAAGCATATTTTAAAAAACATGACCAGATAACCATCTTGATTTTAATATTTTAACCAAATATAATATAAAACTCTATAAAGTATAAAAAGTTATAAAAAGATAATTTTTTGAAAAGATCTTCAAAGTAGAATAAAATATCAAAGACTTTCCTGAATTGATTAATGATCGCTATGGTATTTGTACATTTTATTAAGTTCTACATCTGCCAAAGTGGTGTACAAAGTGTAATCATCTGGGGCCAGACCTACACCACAGCGGTTAAGTGCCATGTATAGGGATCCAGATCCTACATGGCTGACCATCGTTTGACTCCCAGCCCAAGCAGCTTGAAAGATATGCCAGGTGTGTGTCAGATGTGTATGTGTGTGTGCACACCATGCACAGGCACACGCACATGTGCATCCCCAGAATCCTGAAAGGAAGGAGAACTAGAGGAAAAAGGATTGTAGCATGACCAGGCCCTATTATGTATGTGTGAGGGGGATACTTTATTTCCCCCCTCTCTCTGTCTCTTCTCTCTCTGGTAATGTGCATGCACACTCTGGCATTAAAGGAAAAAGAAAATAATAATAAAAAGTAGAATCATTTGAAATGCAACCCTGAGAGCAAGCAGCATTCTGAATCAATGTCTTACTTGTGAATTCACACAAATACAATTGTATCTGTTTTGGTAGGGTTTGGGGAGAAAACTTTTCTGTATATAAAAAAAACTTATAAAAAAAGACCAATAATAGGGCCATTTCTCTTCTCACTGATTCGAGAAAAAAAAAGATAGAAATGTATAAATAGTAAGTGGATTTTTTTTCTAAATCATGATAGCATGTGCACATAGATAGCAGAGAGAAAGAAGATGAGAGAAGCTCCCTCACCAGGGTCTCATCCACCATGACCCTCTTTCTCCAGCTCTCCTGCTCCTCAGGATCTTGAGCATACACCTGTGTTCCTGGCATGTTTCCAGCAAACTGTGCCAGGTATCTGAATCCATGATCAGCCATATGGATTCCAGCGCTGCAGTGTGGTATGCTACTGGCTGTTACTTGCTGCACCTACTTTTTTTCAAGGACTTATTTTGTGAGAATATAAGAAAAGGAAAAATGAAAACAAAAAGGTATATTCTTTAATACCTATAACCTTCTAAAAAAATTTAAGCACCAGGTAACATGTACTAAGCGTTAAATAATATTACTTATTTTTAAATTTTAAAATATCTGATGCATAGCATTGTGATTGCAGAACCTTTATGAGCAAAATGTTTACATTAAAACTTTAAGGTGAGCAGGTGGTGTGGAGCTTAAGGTGCTGAATCCCATGTAGTCAGATGCACAGTTTGAGTCCTAGACCCAGCAGCTTAAAAATCACATTGGCATGTGTGCATATGTGACAAAAAGGAGAATAGAGAAAAGGGATTGCAGTGTTGCCATTTCCCCAGGGATGATGTATCATTTTCTCTCTCTTTCTCTTTCTCTCTCTCTCTCTCTCTCTCTCAATCTCTCTCTCCTCTCTAGTAAGTGTGTGGGTCCTATAGCAAAAACTGAAACAAACAAAAAAACTTTAAAGATGCAGCTCAGAGCCTTTATGATCCATGAAAACAAATACACAATACGTATTTTCTTTAAAAACAAAAAGCAACATTGTGTGTGTGTGTGTGTTTGTGTGTGTGTGTGTGTGTGTGTGTGTGTAAAGCTAAAAACCCATCAGCCATCAGTTTAATGGGTTTTTCTCACTTTGATGAGCTTCTGCTTCCTCAGATTCAGCATATTCAGCACTGAACTCATTATCTCACTTTGCTCACCTAAGCCTTGGAGTCTTCTCTGGATCTTCCTTATCTCTCACCAGCCTGATCCATTGTTTACCAAGCCCTACACTATAGCTCCAGAACAGCGCTCCCTGCTCCACTGCTTCCACTCGCCCCTGTCATGATCAGTAGGTTGCCACTCCAGATAGTGAACTATACATAAGTAGACTTGAAATAAAGCCATCTTAACTAGTTGGCATCACTGGGAATAGCTTTTCTGAGAAGCAAAATTGATTTGGGGTTGCTATGATTCTCCTCCATTGGAATAGTGAATGTGGCATGAGTAGCCTGTTTGCTGAGGAAAGGGAATAAACAAGAAGCTTTGGGTTTGGAATATTTCAAAGTTTTGCCTCCCAGTTTGCTCTCTAAAAGGGTCTATAAATGGAAACTATAACATTTTGGGCTTATGCCAAGAAGGGACCTCCCTCAGTTATGTATCAATTAGTCATAGAAACTTAATTCCATTCTCTTTCATTTTGGATAGGAAAGCATTTAACTATTAGTGGGTTGAGTGATCACCCCTGAAAAGATGCATTCATGTCTTAACTCCAGACCTATTAATGTGATCCTGTTCAGAAAAAGAATCTTTAAATGTAAAATTAAATGTATTGAGCTTAGATAATCCTAGATTATCAGGTTAGATCCTAAATTAAATGGCAGGTAACTTTATCAGAGTCTGAGGAAAAGACACAGGCACAGAAGTCAAGATCACATAGAGATGGGAGGACGCACTGAATGGATAAACGCAGCCCCAATCCAAGGAATGCCTAGAGCCACCAAAAACTCAAAGAGGCAAGAAAGCATTCTCCCTTAGAACCCTGGGAGGGAGCACAGCTCTGCTGACACCTTGACTTGGACTTCCCAGCCTCCAGAACTGTGAGAATACATTTCTGTTTTAGCTGCCTGATTGTGCTATTTTGTTATGGCAACGCCAGGAAATTATATATATATATATATATTGTGTATATATATATATATATGTGTTTGTGTGTATATGTGTGTGTGTATGTGTGTATTTAAAGAATTATTTATTTAATTTTTAAATTATTATTACTTTTTCACATGAGTTTTACCAGAGAAAGACAGAGAGAGAGAGAGAGAGAGGAAGAGTGAGAAAGCAAGCCTCCAGCTCCAGGATTCAAACTGTGGTCAGCCATGTGGGAATTCTAGCACCTTAACCACTATGCCACTCACTGGCCCCCCAGAAAATATATTAATACAATGAGGAAAGGGCTTTATAAAGGGTTTTGGTTAGATTGGCTGGGATGTCCCATCATCTGGGAAGCTTTCCCTTACTTTCACCCTAGATACCATCTTGGATTAAGTGTTGCTCCCACACTATATCCCACAATGCACTGTGCATGACTCCACCAAACACCATCTCATGCTACCTTCACACCACTATTGCCCTGTCCACTTCCCTGCTTATCCATATAGTAGCTAAAAATAGTCTTGTCATAATCTTCAAGATACTAACTCCACCATAGTATCTGGAACTTACTAGATATTAATTTGGGAGGGGGGTGGTAATTCATAAAGTCATAGAAATTTCTTTAAGGCCATCAGTATTTTCACATACTGAAAATCCCATGGTCCTCATGGAATATGAAATTACTAGTTTTCCTGAAGTACTGTAATGAGCACTGCTGGTGTCCCAGCTAGGTTGCCTTTACCTAGCTGCAGGACCCATCCTTTGACTTCTGTATTAACTGCCAGTTGATAACTGCAGGAGCCGGCAAGTCATGTGGTGGTTAGCAGGATTCCTACATGGTCAACTGTGGTTTGAGACCTGGACTTGGTTGGTTGAAACTCATACCAGGCGTGTGCACATGCATGCCCACAATCCTGAGAAA